TCTTCTAGTTCCCAGAACTCCATTCCTGGGCCACATTTTGAATGCTGAGGCAGGCTGATGCTGCGGCCGAGGCAGGCTGAGGCTGAGGCAGGCTGAGGCTGAGGCCGAGGCTGAAGGCAGACTGAGGCTGAGGCTGAAGCAGACTGATGCTGAGGCTGAGGCAGGCTGAGGCTGAGGCTGAGGCAGGCTGATGCTGAGGCAGGCTGAGGCTGAGGCTGAGGCTGATGCAGGCTGAGGCTGAGGCAGGCTGAGGCTGAGGCCGAGGCTGAAGGCAGACTGAGGCTGAGGCTGAGCAGGCTGAGGCTGAGGCTGAGGCAGGCTGAGGCTGAGGCAGGCTGAGGCTGAGGCTGAGGCAGGCTGAGGCTGAGGCTGTGACTGCGACTGCCGTTGCCACTGCGACTGTCATCGCGAATGCGACTACGACTGCGAGAACAGCAGAATTCTACAACTGGATTCTCATTTGAATCTTAAGGGGAATGCTTTCAGATATGCTTCTACACATCGCTGTTAGGTTGCTTAGCCGGGATAATTTTTAGTCGTTGGGCGTTTGCTGGGGGCTTGTCGCCAAGGTTAGAGAGAGCGTGATCCACCGCCACTTTTCCGTGGAAAATTCCCCCCCTTCTTCCTCCGGAAACTGGAGGTCCCCCAGCCCCCCCCCTTCGAAAATCCCCCCCCTCTGCTGGACCCCCCCCCTTCCCTTCGCACCCCCCCCCCCTCTGGAAAACCGGGGGGGAGGTCATTGCCGTTTCGAACCCTCCCCCCCCCAGAAAACCGGGGGGGGTCACTACCGGTTCGAACCTCCCCCCCCGACCCCCCGACTGCCGGCAAACGATCCCCGCTCCTCGGGACAGTGGGACAGCGGAAAACCTGGGGGGTCCGGTTCGACCCCCCTCCGCACCTCCCGAAAACCGGGGATCGCGACCGCAGGTGTGATTGGCCGGTCTTCCAGCCCCTTGCGGCCGCACTCGCCGAGGCGTCTGCAGAGACACGAGAGCTCCAGAATAGTCCAACGGATGCACATCTGCTGTGGACGGCGGCGGCGACGTCAGTCCGAAGCACGTCCTTGGAAAGAGTGCGTTCTCGCTGCTGGCGGAAAACCGGGAGGGTCACTGGGGGTTCCCAGTTCCCAACCCGTCCACCCCCCCTTCAAGAACCTGGGGGGGGGTCACTTCAGTTCGACCCCCCCCCTCCCCCCCCCCGTCCATCATGAACAGGGGGGGGAATCACTACCGGTTCGAACCTCCTCCCCCTCACCGCCGGCCAACGATTCTCGCTCTTCGGGACAGTGGGACAGTGGTGGGGACACTGGGACAGTGGTGGGGACGGTGGTGGTGGGGACAGTGGTGTGGGGACAGTGGGACAGTGGCGGGGACAGTGGGACAGTGGTGGGGACAGTGGTGGTGGGCACAGTGGTGAGGGGACAGCGGTACGGTGGTGGGGACGGGGACAGTGGGGACTGGGACAGTGGTGGGGACGGTAGTGGTGGGGACGGTGGTGAAGGCGGTGGTGAGGACGGTGGTGGGACAGTGGTACAGTTGGGAGAGTGGTGGGGACAGTGGGGACAGTGGTGGGGACAGTGGGGACAGTGGGACAGCACAGTGTGACAGCAGCGGGGAGTGGGGACAGTGGGACAGTTCTGGGAACAGTGGGGACAGCGGGACTGTGGTGGGGACAGTGGGGACAATTGGGAGAGTGGGACCGTGGTGGGACAAATGGTGGGGACACTGGGGACAGTGAGACACTGGTGGGGGCATGCCACTGGTGGGGACAGCGGGGACAATGGTGGGACCAGTGGGGACACTGGTACAGTGGTAGGACAGTGGTGGGGACAGTGGGACAGTGGTGGAGATGGTGGTGGTGGGGACAGTGGTGTGGGGACAGTGGTGTGGGGACAGTGGGAGAGTGGTGGGGACAATGGGGACAGTGGGGAAGTGGTGGGGACGGTGGTGGTGGGGACAGTGGTGAGGGCGGTGGTGAGGACGGTTGTGACAGTGGGACAGGGGTACAGTGGGGACAGCGGTGGGGACTGGTGGGAACAGTGGGACAGCTCAGTGGGACAGCGGCGGGGACAGTGAGACAGTGGGGACAGTGGGACAGTGGTGGGTACCGTTGGGAAAGTGGGGAAAGTGGGGAGAGTGGGACCGTGGTGGGAACAGTGGTGGGGACAGTGGGGACAGTGCGACAGTGTTGGGGGCACCGGTGGGGACGGTGGGGACGGTGGTGAGAAAAGTGGGGACAGTGATGGTGTGGACGGTGGTGCTGGGGACAGCGGTGGGGGATGTGGTGCGGATGGTGGTGGGGATTCGGGAGTCGTTTGCTGGCGGTGGGGGGGGGTCGAGCCGGTGGTTGCTTCCGTTCTCCTCGCTCGTGCTGCCCGTCCGGGGCTTCGGGGCCCGACCTCTGTCCTCGGCCCCTCCGCGCGCCTTCAGGGAGTCGATCCACGCAGGCCCTCGCTCTCCGTGCCGCTGCCGCCGCCACTCTGCCACTCTACCTCCTCCTCCTCCTCCTCCTCCTCCTCCTCCTCCTCCTCCTCCTCCTCCTCCTCCGAGTCTCACCGCCGTGCGCGTGTGGTCTGGCGCAGCCGCCTCGCTCGGGGGTGGGCAGGACCCCCAACAGTGGCACGTCGATTCGTGAGCTGTCCGTTTTCGGTGTTCGAGAGGGCGCCGCGGCCGTTGTTTTCCAGGCTTGCGCCCGCCAGGTTTGGGCCTCGGGTCGTTTTCACTAAACTCACCACCCACCAAACCACCCCAACCCAACCCGAAGGCCCAAAATCATCCTCGATTTCCAGTGGGGGGGGTCGGGAAACATCGAAAAAGCACGTGCGGAGCCCTTACCCCCCCCCAGCCCGAAATTCGGGTCTTCGGGTCGGGTTGGGGTGGTCTGGTAGGTAGTCATAAACCACGCTTTGCTAAAGGGGGGTCTGTCCATCCCCAAGGGCTCCCCCGAGGGCGCGAAGTTATTCGCGCTTCGCGCTTCGCGGTCCTCGTTCCTTCTCCCCCTCCTCCTCGTCCTCCTTTTCTCCCTTTGGGGGGGCGGCGCGAGGGCGCGAAGTTATTCGCGCTTCGCGCTTCGCGCAGCGCGAAGCGCGAAGTTGGGAGCCCTAGATCCCCGACTCACGGGCACACCTCCGGGGCCCTCGCCTGGCCCTCTCGGGGCAGGCGCGGCCGCGGGGGCGCGCCAGCGAGCGTCGGGTACGCCCTCTGCGGGCTCCCTGGCCATGCAGGCGTGCAGCCAAGACGCTGAAAGAAGGAGCAGTTTGGAGTCGGAAGGGGCTCGATTTTCCTTACGTCCTTCCGTGGTTGTTCCTCTGGCCCTCCCTTCTCGTGCACCCGGGCCTTTTTGAGGCCGCAGAGGGGCTTCGTGCCTCATTTAGCGTTCTTTATTTCAGCAGCCCGACTGTACGTACATGCCGATACAGGGCCCTGGACCACTGGCGCACAGCCGGCGCCGTCTTGGAGGTGCCGTGTGGCCGCCGCCCCCCCCCCACTGTCGAGGGGCGGAGTGCCTCCAGAGGCAGGGGAGATTGCCCCAAAACCGTTCACCAGTGGACCCGGCGCGATCCCAATTGCAAAGCACTCCAAAACAGTCCTGAACAGTGCGAAGCATTGCATTGCTCTCCATTTCTTTGCACTGCTTTGCATTGATTGGTGGTGTTGGCCATTGTTTTGCATTGCTTGGCATTGCTTGGCGTTGCTTTGCGTTGCTTGGCATTGCCCAGGCAGCCCTGGGCAACCCTGGGCAACCCTGGGCAACCCTTGGTCAACCCTTGGGCAACCCCTGGCCAACCCCTGGCCAACCCCTGGCCAACCCCTGGCCAACCCCAGGGAACCCCTGGCAACCTCAGGCAACCCCGGGCAACCCATTGGAACGCTGAGGGACGCCGAGGACCGCCTCTGACGAAGGGCTACGCACCCACCAGTCTCTTCAACAAGCTAGTCAGAACCCATCAGGCAAAGCCTGCGTAGGGAACTTCGATCCTCGATCATTGGCGCCGTCGCCGTCGCCGTCGCCGCCGCCGTTGCCACCGTCGTCGTCCTCGGCCGCCGCCGCCGTCGCCGCCGACGTCGTGGTCGTCATCGTCGTCGCCGCCGTCGCCATCGTGGTCGTCGCTGCCGTCGTTGTTGTCGTCGTCGTCGGATCGGTGCTGGCACACAGCCGGTGCAGGAGCGGCGTCTGGCCGCCGCCCCCTGCCCCAGGGGGAGAGGGCCTCCAGAGGCGAAGGTGATGGTCCAAACCATCCGAGCACTTCTACGGTGGAGGCACATGCCAAGAACCCCCCCGCTGGCCTCCAGGGTTCCCTGGGTTTCTTGGGTCTCGATGGTTTTGCGACGAAGAGCGCGACGCTCCCACGCCGAAAAACGATGGACGTCCATCGATTTTTCGTGTGGGAGCGTCACGCTGCCCATGGCAAAACCATCGAAACCGAAGAAACACCCCGGAGGCAAGCAGGGTGTTTCTTGGCATGGGCCCCCACTGTACTGTATCCTCGATCGTCGTGCTTGGCATTCCTTGGAGTCGCTGCGCACGGTCAACCCCAGGCAGCCCCGAGAAGCAGCCCTGAGGGGCGCCGAGGGCCGCCTCCGACGAAGGTCCCCGAGCCCCGCGCCTCTGGCCAGGGGTCCCGAGGCAAAGCTTTACCGGGGAACTTCGAGCCTCGAGCCTCGAGCCTCTATCCCTGCTCCTCGATCCCCGGCCCTCGAGCCTCGAGCCTCGAGCCACGAGCCTCGAGCCTCGATCCCTGCTCCTCGATCCCTGGCCCTCGAGCCTCGAGCCTCGAGCCTCCGAGCCTCGGAGCCTCGAGCCTCGGAGCCTCGAGCCTCGAGCCACGAGCCCCGAGCCTCGAGCCTCGGAGCCTCGAGCCTCGAGCCTCGGCCCCCCGGGCCTCGAGCCCCGACCCTCGCGCCTCGAGCCCCGGATCTTCGACCCTCGCTCCTCGCCGTCGTCGCCGCGGCCGCCTTGCCGCCGCCGCCCGCTCCTCCCGCGCCCGCTCGGCCCCGGCGAGCCGTCGAGGGGCCCCGCGCCGGCCGCGCGGCCCGGGCGGGATGCCTCGGAGGGCGAGGTGCCTGGGCATCGGCTGCGCCGCCGCCTTCGCGGAGGGGGGCACGGGCGGGGCTCGTCAGGCCTACAGTGGGGGCGCGTGCCAAGAAACCAGTTGGATTCTGCCAGGGTGCCCTGGGTTTCTTGGATTCTGACGGGCAGGGCTCGTCCGGCCCAGAGTTATTCAGAGCGTGAATGACCTGCCCCGCTTTCGCTTCCAGACAAAACCGAGTCATACCACGCGCCTCCTCGTCAAGCGGCCTGGCCAGTACGGGCCGTAGTTTGGCATCGCTTGGTATCTCTTGGAAGCGAGGGTGGTCAAAAGCGGGGTAGGTTTGTTTGCCCCCTAGTTGTGATGTTCCAACCTGCTTTAGCCTTGAGTACCAGAAGGAGGTTCGAGCGCCCAAAGAAGTGTACCGAAACTCAAGGGTTTTTACGTGTCGGGCCCTGGGAGACACGCGCCGGGCACTGTTTCGACACTGTCTCGACACTCTCTTGACACCTTTACGGGTGCTCGAAATTATTTCTGGGATGTGGTCTTTAAGTAGGATGGGAACAACATAAGCCTAGAGGTTCACACCGACATCAAGATCGGCGGTGTGCCTCCACCGAGGGAAGACGGTCCCGATCTCGGTGATGGTGGTAATGCTCTGGCTTCCAAGGTGGCCGACATATGACCACCAGCGCCGAAATCTAGGATCACCTTCCCCATTTGGAGGCAAGCCCCTGTGCTGGTGTTGGTGCCAATTTCCAGGCCTCCAACGTTTCGATTCCTCCGATTTGATACGATTCGATTTTGGTGGCGTCCGATTCCGATCCGATTCGACTTCGGATTCCGATTTGGACTCCGATTCTTTACCCTGGAGGCATGCCAGCCTGCCGATTTCCACCGATTCGGCTTCTCCCGACTCGGCTGCCGATCTTCCTCCGATCCGATTCATTTCGATCGCCGATCCGACTTGTCGACTCGATTCTGGGCTTTCCTGCACTGGGTGGAATTCCGGCGCCCCAGGCCGTCCAGAGCCAGGAGCGACAGAAGGACTCGAAGAATAAACAACGGCATAAACATAAAACGTTGAGCGCGGATCGCCAAAAGTTTATGCTTATGCCATGTTTACTTCTTCGAAGGGCGTGTGCGTACATAAGCACGCTGGTTTCACAAGTACGCAGTGCGCGAACGCGCGTATGGCGCAGCAGGTCTCGCGGACTGGGGGGGGCCGTCTCCGTGTGCGTGGTTGGGCGCACGTCCTCTGCGGGCCTCCCACAGAGGGGGTCCGAGCAGACCGGGTCGGAGCCCAAAGGTCTCCGATGATATTTCCCAACCATCCCGTGGTGAAGAGGGGGTCTTCGTTGTGAAGAGACAGCGCCCCGCGTCATTCCTCCCCTCTCCTCTCCTCTCCTCTCCTCTCCTCTCCTCTCCTCTCCTCTCCTCTCCTCTCCTCTCCTCTCCTCTCCTCTCCTCTCCTCTCCTCTCCTCTCCTCTCCTCCTCCCCTCTCCTCCCCTCTCCTCTTCTCTCCTCTCCTCCTCCTCCCCCTCCTCCCCCTCCTCCCTCCTCCGATTCGCCTCGTCGTCGTTCCCACTGCCTCCTCCTCGTCCTCCCTCCTCCCATCGACGGCATCATCATCATCGTCACCATCAGCATCATCCCACCCGTTTCTGCACACTCCTCACACGGTTCGTGGCCCCATAGGGAGCTCTACCGAAGGCTCCAGTGGCAGGGTCCGCATGCGTCAACACCACCCGGGACAGCGCTTCGTGGCCCGATAGGGAGCTCCACCGAAGGCTCCAATGGCAGGGTCTGCATGCGCCAACGCCACTCAGGACAGCGTTTCGTGGCCCCACAGGGAGCCCCACCGAAGGCTCCAGTGGCAGGGTCCGCATGCGTCAACGCCACACAGGACAGCGTTTCGAGGCCCTATACGGACCTCCACCGAAGGCTCCAGTGGCAGGGTCCGCGTGCGTCAACGCCACCCATGACAGGGCTTCGTGGCTCCGTCGGGAGCTACACCGAAGGCTCCAGTGGCAGGGCCCGCATGCGTCACCGCCACACAGGACAGCGCTTCCTGGCCCCATAGGGAGCTCCACCGACGTTTCCAGTGGCATCGTTCGCATGCGTCTCCCCCACCCAGGACAGGGTTTCGTGGCTCCATCGGGAGCTCCACCGAAGGCTCCAGTGGCAGGGTCCGTATGCGCCAACGTCAGCCCCATAGGGAGCCCAACCGAAGGCTCCACTGGCAGGGTCCGCATGCGTCAACGCCACCCAGGACAGCGTTTCGTGGCCCTATACGGAGCTCCACCGAAGGCTCCAGTGGCAGTGTCCGCGCGCGTCAACAACAGTCATGTAGGCACACCCCTCACACGGTTTCGTGGCCCCACAGGGAGCTCCCGCGAAGGCCCCAGTGGCAGGGTCCGCATCCGTCACCGCCACCCATGACAGCGCTTCGTGGCCCCATGGGGAGCTCCACCGAAGGCGTCTCCCCCGCCCAGGACATCGTTTCGTGGCCCCATGGGGAGCTCCACCGAAGGCCCCAGTGGCACCGTTCGCATGCGTCTCCCCCACCTAGGACAGCGTTTCGTGGCCCCACGGGGAGCCCCACCGAAGGTTCCCGTGGCACTGTCCGCATGCGTCAACTCCGTCCAGGACAGCGTTTCGTGGCCCCATTGGGAGCTCCACCGAACGTTCCAGTGGCGCCGTTCGCATGCGTCCCCCCCGCCCAGGACAACGCTTCGTGGCTCCATAGGGAGCTCCACCGAAGGCGGCAGTGGCGCAGTTCGCATGCGCCCCCCCCGTCCATGACAACATTTCGTGGCCCCATATGGGGGCTCCACCGAAAGCCCTAGTGGCGGTGTCCACATGCGTCCGCGCCACCGATTTCGGCGCACCCCTCCCACGTTTCGTGGCCCCATAGGGAGCTCCACCGCAAGCGGTGCCCACAATGCGGCACTCGCAGCTGCATATGGTTGGGTCTTTCGTCAGGTTAATTTCAATCTGGGTGTTTTTCTTTGAGGTTGGCTTGCGGGGCCAGTTGTCGGGCTCTGAAGCGAATATGGGGCGAAGAACTGGCCACGGGGAAGAGGTCGGTTACCGCCTTGGCAAGGCTCGCAGCGCCCCGCGTCTCCTCCTCCTCCTCCTCCTCCTCCTTTCCTCTCCTCCTTCCACTTCTCCCTCTTCCCACCCCGTCTTCCCTCGTCCCATCGACGGCATCATCATCATCATCGTCACCATCAGCATCATCCCACCCATTTCGGCACACCCCTCACACGGTTCGTGGCCCCACAAGGAGCTCCACCGATAAGCTCCAGTGGCAGGGTCCGCATGCGTCAACGCCACCCAGGACAGCGCTTCGTGGCCCCATAGGGAACTCCACCGAAGGCTCCAGTGGCAGGGTCTGCATGCGCCAACGCCACCCATGACAGCGCTTCGTGGTCCCATAGGGAGCTCCACCGAAGGCTCCAGTGGCAGGGTCCGCATGCGCCAACGCCACCCATGTAGGCACACCCCTCACACGGTTCGTGGCCCCACAAGGAGCTCCACCGAAGGCCCCAGTGACAGGGTCCGTATGCGCTTCAGCCACCCATGACAGCGTTTCGCTGCCCCATAGGAAGCTCCACCGAAGGCCCCAGTGGCATCGTTCGCATGCGTCTCCCCCGACCCGGACAGCGTTTCGTGGCCCCTTAGGGAGCTCCACGAAATGCGCCAGTGGCACCGTTCGCATGCGTCCCCCCCGCCCATGACAGCGTTTCGTGGCCCCATACGGAGCTCCAACGAAGGTCCCAATGGCGCAGTTCGCATGCGTCTCCCCCACCCATGACAACGCTTCGTGGCTCCATAAGGAGCTCCACCGAAGGCCCTAGTGGCGGGTCCACATGCGTCCGCGCCACCGATGTCGGCGCACCCCTCGCACGTTTCTTGGTCCCATAGGGAGCTCCACCGAAAGCGGTACCCACAATGCGGCACTCGCAGCTGCATATGGTTGGGTCCTTCGTCAGGCTGATTTCAATCTGTGTGTTTTTCTTCGATGCTGGCCAGCGGGGCCAGTTGTCGGGCCGGGACCACCTGAAGCGAATTTGGTGCGACGAATTGGCCACGGGGAAGGGGTCGGTACCGCCTTGGCAGGGCTCGCTTCCACTCCTCCGATTCGATGCGATTCGATTCTGGTGGCCTCCGATTCCGATTCGATGCGACTTCGGATTCCGCCTCTGGATCCGATCTCTCAACGGATCGGAGGTTGATAGACCTCCTGCCCTGACACGTCGATCGGCGAATCGGCCGTTTTCGGTTTGCGAGAGGTCGTTGCGGCCGTCATTTTCCAGGCTTGCGCCCGCCAGGTTTGGGCCCGAGGTCGTTTCCACTAAGCCACGTTTTACTGAAGGGAGGTCTGTCCATCCCCGAGCCATTTTCGCATACGTTTTGGCTGTTTGTTTCCTTTCGTCCAAAATCCGCCTGTAGGAGGACATGCCCGATCTAAGACTCGGGATCGAGAGCCGCTCCCAGGGGGGCGAGACGTCCTAGATCGGGGGCCACATGCGAACCCTACCCCTACCCCCCACGATTTCTGAGGGGGAGGGTGGGGTTCACTCCGTTCGAGAGCTCCCGAGTGAAGTGAACCCCACCCTCCCCCTCAGAACTCGTGGGGGGTAGGGGTAGGGTTTGCATGTGGCCCCCTTACTAGAGTCCACGCTGTGAAATCACGACGTCGTAGGATGCGGGCGAGACCGGGGGGAGGGCGGAGGGGGGGACGGGTGGGGACCCTGCCCCGCTCTTTCTTGCTGTGCCTCGTCGCCGGCGCAGCCCTGGTGCCGAGAAGTCCTCCAGATGTGCCTCTCCTCTTGCGTGGCACGCTCTGAACCCGTCTGGTCTGGAGTAGGGTAGCAAAAAGTGACGTAAACAGAAAAACTCGGAGGTCCGCGCGGATTTCTCGGATCGGCGCTGGGGCCCCCCGGCGGCGCCTCTGGCGCCGCCCCTGGCGCGCTCCGCGCGCCCGGGAGGGGGGTCCAGCGCCGATCCGAGAAATCCGCGCGGACCTCCGAGTTTTGATGTTTATGTCATTGTTT